TTTAGTACTTCGTATATAACCATATAGAATTTTCGGATGCACCAACGAATTTCGGAGTATGTTCAGTTCAAACTTCTTTCGCAGCTTTGAGGCCTCACTTTTACAGACGTTTCGTTGCCGCTTATATTCCTGTAAGTGTTCGCCGGAGCCAGTTAGTCTGTAACGCCTCCACAGACGATTTCTTTTTCTGAAAGAGGCCTTCAAGTCCGGGTTTATCCATTTTGGGCGGTTTGTGATTGTCTTCCTTCTAAGAGGACAATTGGAATAAACAATCTCTTTCAGAAGGAACTGAAAGTATTCCAGTTATCGTTTGCTCGACCATGCAGTTCAGTCTCCCATGATATAGCTGCCGCTTCCCTCCTCATGAGAGAATAGTCACCTTTCCAAATGTTCCTCTCCCACCTCTCGGGTTGGACGGGTTTGGAAAACAGTGAGTACTCGAAGTAGAGCGTGATGTGGTCGCTTGACCCTAATGGCTGTCGGTCCTGCAGGTCTAACACATTTTCCTCCTCTCGGGTAAAAATAAGATCAAGGCAGTTCGACTGCTGCCCTTCCCTGACCCGTGTTCCAAAGGTAACATTCTGGCAGAGAAGTTTGTCCGTTGCCCATTGTAGTAGTTTGTGATTAAAGCTGTCTTGCGGCCCTTGTGCAGTCCACGTTAGCCAATCAATGCCAGGAGCGTTAAAATCCCCAACGATAAGGACGTCTTTCTTCTCGCTAGCTTGGTACAGTTCGGATATGAGCATGAGATCTTGGTCAGAAGTATGTTTAGGTGAACGGTACACTACCTAAAGCGTCAATGATCGGACATTCTTAGTATATATGGTAACGCTTAGCAGTTCCACATCCCGTACCGGTCTGTGTACATCAGCCATAGCGCTTAGCTTGCAAGTGACATAAATTATGACTCCTCCTCCTCGGCTTAGTCTATCTCTCCTGAATTGCTGATATCCTCTAAGTGATATTTCTGAATCTGCGATATCTTCAGTAAGCCACGTTAGTTAGTTTCACTCTGTAAATCAGTAGACTAGATTACATTCCAGCTTCAAGAAGCGGAATAGTCCAAAGGAAAACATCTAAGGTATCAGGAAATTTTTGAGTATTTTTTTAGACTTAGTCGCTATTACGCACTCAACACATTGAGCGTGTTTAAACACATCGATTAATTAGAAGTGGATAAAGAATCGCGCGAATTGTGACAAAATAGAATTTCAGCAGCCAAACGTATGAAAGCTTGATTGTTATTGGCCAATTACATTAAACGTTTATAAGCACTAGCGTAGTCTCGTACGATGATTCTTCACCGCACTTCTACGGAAAAGTTACGACGTTTTAACATCCATTGTAAGCAGAAAGTGGCATTCAAGTTCCAATCGGGCTCATTACCGATCATGGAGATAAACCCAATACGAAGGGTATTAAAGGCAAAAATTGAACTCTTTAAAGCGAAAATTAAATAGCTAAAAGACAGAATATGCCGGAGAAACAACGGAAGAGGGGAGGAAAAGCAACTTCTAAAATCTTAAAAATGGATAACAAAAAGACGCACAAACATTCTTTTGGGGCGCATATTTCCCCGATCTCCGACATTTACGTGAACACTGCTTGATAATTATGAGCGCTTAGAAATGCACAGTGTAATAGAGTTTTATTTGCATTTACATTCCTACCGGAAGCTGCGTTTGTTGAGAAGTAGGAGAAACTTGCATTTGAAATATACAAGTCAAATTTGATTCCTGTCCGCTTGATGGCTTATAGAATTGAAATTGCGGCCTTAGCCGCTTTACAACATTATGAAGAAGACTTTAGGATATCTGTAGTCCAGACTCCGATATCTTTCTGCGTTTCTGCTTTTCAAAGTGGCATTTTGTTCAGATATATGAAATATGTTTCGATATCAAAACAAACGCAGTCTTGGTCGGCTGACGTTTGGCACAGAATGATATGTGCGGAAATAGGCCTTGTGTGGGAAAAAAACAGCTGGAGTACTGACAGGAATTATTGTACATTATTTTTGCTGGTACTGAACCATTAAACTCGGCGACTTAGTCATTCCATTGTCCCCTGTCTTTGCCGGTAATAAAATACATACTTCTTCTTCAATAAGGCACAGATTTTGAAAGGTTTTCACAACCGTGACACTTTCTAGAAAGACATAGTGCTATATTTCTGTGCAAGGCGACTGTCGTTCGCTGCGATCTTTTGTCTGCAACTTACCATCACGCCTGAAGACTATCGCTGACCACTAATATTACCGGTTTGATTTTTTCCTCCCCAAGCCCTTTCTGGCTGCAAGAACTAATATATATTAGAGTCTTCAGGCCTCCGGTCACATAGCACAGTGTTCCCATTAGCTAAATTATTAACAACCACCATACCGAAGAATTTTTGATGTATACTATCGATTCCTACCAGGGTAGATACTTCTTGCATTGCGTACAATTGTAAAGCAATGGGCTAACGACGCTGTCCTCATCTGCGGTTCATAACCAATCAGCTTCGGGTCCTTGTTTCCGTGTTGCTGCTGTTTTGCCGCGACCTGCTCTTTAGCAGATATTATTATGGATGCAGTGTTATCATGGATTAGCGCAGTTCTTAATGTTCCTATAACAAAACAGGAGCTGATCTCTCTGAAATGTATTCATAAAATCATAGCTCTTGGGTAATTGTCCTATTCCTCCGATTGTTTCCTAGTAGTGCGGGGCAACCCCTAAATGATTCTACATGTGGATTTATTGTCTCTTTTTTCGAAAGTAAATGGGTTTCATTTCATTAGTCCCCTAGGCATTTTTCCTTTTCCTCTTTACGATGCGGCGGAAATCGAACGTATCCAGTCATCTGGAGATGACAGGGAAGTTTACAAGGTGAGCATATTTTGTACTTTCTTTTTATCGCATTGGGGTTTCACCCTCATTTTCTATGGTATTTTACAACTTGCCTTCCTTTTCCACCAAAAATTTCTGGAATAGCGAACTTGGAATGGTTAGTTATTATAAAGGACACTTGCTTGGAAGGCGCCAGTCGCTGACGTAGCGACCCCAAGCATTCTTTTTTCCCTTTACATAAAGTGTAATGGGCATCATGCACTTTCGGTGATTCATATTTTACTGAGGTTTAGTTCACTGCGCAACAAGTTGGCCCGTATTCATTATCT